CTCTGGAGGTCGACGTTTTCGCGATTTTCGGCCTCCGGGGGCCCTTGCCGGTCCTCGGGATCGTCAAAAAACAATAAGGGGTCCAGACCTCTGGGGGTTGACGCTGTGAAGAAGTCGCGACGTCGGGGGTCTGGGTGGGGAGAGGGGTGTGTGGCCCCTGGAAGGCTGCAGCAACCCTGCCAGACAGCACTTGGTTGGCTTGTACGTTGTGCGTCTTTTTCGAGCGCGCGTGGCCGGGAGTACACTGCTTTCGTGCCCGTTGTCAATTGAAGGTCGCTCCAGGCGCGTTCTGGTCACGTAGTTTGCTTGCTTGTATGAGCAGCGCTTCCAATGTTGTCCTCTCTTTTTGCGACGTTGCCCAGAAAGTATCTCCAGATTGATATGAATCCAGCCTCATTTGAGCGAGTCAGCTTGTCTGTGACCTCCTCAGTTGCTGCCCAATTGGCTCGACTGACGCACGGGACTGCAGAAAGAGAGAGAGAGAGAGATGGACAGAGAGAGACAGAGAGAGAGAGAGAGAGAGAGAGAGTGTGTGTCTGCGTGCCAAACTGCCGATCTGGCTCAAGTCCCCAGCGGGCTCGAGGCCAGTTCTGGCCACCCCAGCCCGCAGCAGCGCATCTGGTGAGCCTGTAGCGGCGCACCATGGATGACGCTATATTTCTGTTCGATAAGGACAGCGAGAAGGCCTCGGCCTTCACGGTCGGCATATGGAAGTCGCTGCGGGCCTGGCTGTGGGTCACTTTCAAGGAGCCGCAGCCCTCCGAACGGGTCGGGTTTGAAACCAAGGCGCCCAACGCCGTTCTGGTCGTGACGCCAAACGTGTTCGCGCACGAGCAGGTGAAAGAAGCCTTTGAGAGCGCGGTCCAGCTGAAGCGAACCATCGTCTTGCTGCACGACATCCGCTCGGGCTGCGACCTTGAGCAGGAGATGGCCCAGGCCCCCGAGGAGTGCAAGAAGGTCGTGGAGAAGGCCCTCAAGGAGAAGGTGGTCGTCTACTGCGATGACCTGGCCGAGGATTATGATGATTCAACCTACTTTAGCCTTGACCACCAGAACGAATTTCGAGCACCAGAAAAGTACCGAAACTCGAGGGTTTTCACGTGTCGGACCCTGGGGGACAATCGTCCGACACTGTTTCGACTCTGTTTCGACACTCTTTCGACACTTTTCTGGGTGCTCGAACTATTTCTGAGATGTGGTTTTTAAGTACGATGGGAACAACATAAGCCGAGGAGTGCAACGACATGTTGATGGACAAGCTCCAGCTCAAGGACACCGAGTCTCAGAAGAACGCGGTCGACAAGCGGCACCACGACCGCAATATCGCCATCATGAAGTACAGCGCGAAGGTGTCGAAGGCCCGTAGCACTGCCGGCGTGAAGCGCAAGTACGACTTATGCATCACAGCGGCAACTGCCAGCGACGATCCCGATGCCCCGAAGGGTGGCATGGACATCGTGGTCAACATTTTCGACACCCTCTGCAAGTTGGCGCCTGCGCTCAGCGTGGGGCGCAACACGGGTGGTACTCCTTCAACACCCAATGCAGACGTCAGGCACTCCTTCAACTTGGTGGTGGTCTTGACACTGGACGCGCTGAAGTGCCAAGAGTTGCTGGAGGAGGTCAAGTCCTCGCTGGAGAGCGAGGGCAACATCCTCGTGGTCCAGGACATCAAGAGCTGCCCAGACTTCGAGGCCGAGCTGGCCAAGTGCGACGACAAGGTGCTGATCTCCAGCCTGAGGCGCGCTGCCCGCTTCACCTACATGTCGGAGGTTGCAGGGGCGCCGAAGGAGGGGGGGAGCTGGCCTAGCAGGGGGAGGAGGAGGAGGAGGAGGAGGAGGAGGAGGAGGAGGAGGAGGAGGAGGAGGAGGAGGAGAGGAGGAGGAGGAGGAGAGGAGGAGAGGACGAGGACGAGAAGGAGGAGGAGTAGCAGGAGGAGGGGGAGGAGGAGGAGGAGGAGGAAGAGGAGGAGGAGGAGGAGGAGGAGGAGAGGAGGAGGAGGAGGAGGAGGAGGAGGAGGAGGAGGAGAGGGAGGCGGAGGAGGCGGAGGAGGAGGAGCATTAGGAGGAGGATGAGGAGGAGGAGAGGAGGAAGAGGAGGCGGAGGATGAGAGGAGGAGGAGGCGGGAGGAGGAGGAGGAGGAGGAGGAGGAGGAGGATTAGGAGCAGGAGGAGGTGGCGGAGTAGGGGGAGGAGGCGGAGGATGAGGAGGAGGCGGAGGAGGATAGAGGGAGGAGGAGGAGAGGAGAGGAGGAGGAGAGGAGGAGGAGGAGGAGAAGGAGGAGGAGGAGGAGGAGGAGGAGGGGGAGGAGGAGGAGGAGGAGGAGGAGAGGAGGAGGAGGAAGGAGGAGGAGGAGGAGGAGGAGGAGGAGGAGGGAGGAGGAGGAGGAGGAGGAGGAGGAGGAGTAGGAGGCGGAGGAGCAGGAGGAGGAGGAGGAGGAGGAGGAGGAGGAGGAGGAGGAGGAGGAGGAGGAGGAGGAGGATGGGGGAGCATCGATCCCCGATCGCGCACTCCTCGCGCATCGGGGCCTGCGGGCCCCGCCCCGCCCCGCCCTGGAGCGTGCGGCATCGCCACCGAGGACCTGTCGCCGATCTCTCGGCGGGGCGTCGCGGACTCCGAGTCAGTGCCCTCCCCTGAGCCAGTCCCCTCGGCATCACTCAAGCATACCTCTTCCACGCGTGCGTCTGCACCCCAGGGGCAGCCCGCGCGCCGAGAGATCTCAGAGTGCATGCTCGGTGGCCGGCGCTCTCTGGCCACGACGCCCGGGTGACGATGGGCGGTGAGAGGCTTGTACACTGTGTTGGGTTCGGACATGCGCCTCCGAGTGGGGCGCATAGTACTGGTGTGTCTTTCCGCTTCCCGTCCCCCCCTTCCAGTTCGGTCTTTAAAGAGCGTTAGCGTCGATTTGCGCATGGTTCTCGATGGGATAGCGCCGATTCGGCATCGATTAGCGTCGATTTGGCGTCGATCAGCGTCGACCTGCGTCGATTCGCAAGAGCCGCCACGATGGTATGGGAGGTTCCCCATGCGTCGCCGCAGGACCCTCCCCTTCAGAGGCGGTGACGAGCGTAGTCATGGGCGATGTGATGAATAGAATGCTGCTCCAACCTCGCAGTGAACTGGCCCTGCAGGACTCTGCGAGACCCGCACGCGGCTCCCGCGCGTTGCCGCAGAGCCCTCCCCCTCAGAGGTGGTGACGAGCGTGGTCATGGGCATGCTCTCCCCTGGCAACATCAAGACGGACGACACCAAGTCTCCGCGGACCCGCCAGGCGCTCTCCAGCGGGGGGGGCCGGAGCTTCCGCCTCGAGTACACGAACCACTTCGCCCTGGGGCTGGCGGGCGAGGCCGGGCTCTTCCCTCGCCTCCTCCGGCTCGAGTCGACCCGACTTCGATCGATCCTCGATTCGACCCGACTCCGCGATCCTTCGATCCTCGATCCTCGATCCTCGATTCGACCCGACTTCGATCGATCCTCGATCCTCGATCCTCGCTTCCCTCTCCCACGTCATGTTCCGCAGCAGCTTCACCAGCCCTTCTCGACGGGCCCGCGTGCTCCGTGCGCCCGCCGCCCGTCTTCGGGCCGCCCCCCCCCCGCGTGTGGACGGCTGCGTTTTCTGCGCTCTGCGTGTCGGCTCGATTCGACCTCGGATTCCGTTTTCTGCGTTCTGCGTGCTGCGTTCTCCGTTCTCCGTTCTGCGTGTCGGCTCGATCCGACTTTGGACTCCGCTGTGGCTTCCGGTCGGCGCCGCCCCGGCATGCCGATGCCGCGTGTGCGCCGGCCCCCCCCCCTGGGGCGACGCGTGCGCCGAGGGATTTTGTGGCGTCGGCTCCGTGGCGGGCGCTTTTTCTGGCCATGCCGCGCTGGAGACGGTGTGCTGCCCGCTACTTTGCACCACATGTTCGGGGTGGATGGGCGCCTCCGAGGCTCCGAGGAGGACGCGTAAGTGCTGGTATGTCCCTGTGCGTCCGATCCAGTTTCTCCACGGAGTCCTTGCCAGCCTTTCGATTTCCGCCGATCTAATTTCGACCGCCGATGCGGATCATCGATTCGACTCTGGGTCATCCTTGCGAGGGCACTGGCATGGTATACAACTCCAAGTTTACTGCCAAGAAGAACGATCTGCCTGGAGACATAGAGTCTGCGATCAAGGCCCTGTTTGAGTTGTACGACCCTCAGAAGAAAGGCGTGATCAGTTGGCCCCAGTTCGCCGAGGTGGATCGCATCGTCACGGAGAGTCTCGGTGGTCAGTACAACGAGATGATCTCCCGGCGCGCGTATTCCATGATGAATTATCCTGGTCTGACGCTCGAGTCTGAAATCTCATACACCACTTTCCACAACTACCACCTATTCGTTGCCAAGCAGATGGGGGCACTGGAGGGGGACAAAGACGCAAGCATGCACTACAAGTACATTGTAGACAAGGTGAAGAATTCCAAGAAGGGGAAGCGGTTCCTTAAGAGTTTCGACCTCTTCATTGTTCACGACGCTACGAAGGCGTCGAACACATTTGCCCAGCTTGTGAAGAAGTCGCTGCAGGCTCACACTCCGAACATCCGTGCAGCCGTCTGCAACGAGAAGATCGCCGGCAATGAGAAGACGCGCACGCAGCTCGCTGCTAGCAGCCTCAACATCCTGCTGCTGCTGTCGGAGGACTGCTTTTCGAAGAAGGAAGTGTGTGAGGACATCCTTGCGGGCTATGGCGAGGGCGCCTCGATGATGGTGCTAACGGATCTAGAGGATCCCAAGGCCCCCATGCTTGAGGAGGAGAAGAAAAAAGCTCCGCCGCCTGTCCAGATGGCGTTCTCACGACCAGCCGTGATCGAGTATTGGGTGAAGAGCGACGCGGCATGCTGCATTAAGCTCCTCGACCTTATGTCGTTCCCCGAAGATGCCAACACCAAGCGCCCTTTGCCGAACAAGGAGGCCACCTTCCGGAAGAGGGACAACCCCACCGTGCTTTTCCTGTACCAGCAGGCCGACCAGGACACGGATGCATGCCAGGCGCTGCAGGCTCTTGCAAACCTTGTAAGCCCTATGAGCCGCAGTGCCGCCCAGACAAGGTCCGACTTCCTCCGCGATGGCGGGCTGGATATCCTGCAGGAGCGGTTCGTGCAGTACCTCTCCGCCCCGCCTGTCGCGGAGGTGTGCTGCCGCGTCATCGCCAACATGGCCCAGAGCCCCGCCGCCGCTCGGCGCATGGCGCAGGTCGGCTCCATCAAGACGCTGCTGGATGCCATGAGCGCGCACGGAGACGTCGCGAGGCTCCAGGGAGACGCCTGCAGGGCCATCGTGAACTTGGCCCAGGACGACGTGGCCAAGAAGAAGATTCGAGACGCTTCGCGCTCGCCGCCCGCCCTTTCTCATTGCTGCCAGGGGAGGCGCACGGCCTCGAGACGGACCAAGAGCATGCGGGTAGATATTCATGACGACCTCGTAGGAGGCTAGATCTGTTCGACATGAATCCAGTACGACCCGAAGACCGACCCAACGGCCCCTCCCCCTGGGTGGACGAAACGCAGGCCAAGATGGGCCCAAGGCGTACCCAAGATGGCCCTGGCGTGAACATCCTCCCTTTAGATCCGAACGCTGTCCGCGTCCCATCAAACCAGGGCTCGTTTTGGCCCTACAACAGGCCCCAGACTCGTCACAGAGGGCCCCCCCTGAACGTGTCCTCCAAGACTGTATTGAGTTTTGCGCGCGTGAGACGCAACGAACGAGTTTTGAGCGCGGCTGTAAGAAGCGCGCAGACGATCCCAAACACAACGCGCATCAGCAATAACTGTTTGTAGTCAGACCTAATTGTGGCTCCACGGCTTGTCTGGAGTTAGACGGACGAGGCATTTTCGAGACAGAGGGAGCCGACTTCGGAGAAGCTGACGGGTAACCATGGGACGGAACGCAATCCGGGCCGCGAGATTAGGGAACGATCTGTACATGCATGCGCGCACACCAGAGCTCGAGTGCGCTCGCGATCAATCAACAGGGCAACGCAGCAATCCTGCATGCAAGCAAACGCACAACAAGGGGAGCAAACACATGAACTTTCAGTCACCCATGCACGCCTGGATGTCACCTGGAATTCATGAGAGCATGCGTGTACAAACGCGTTGAAGACCGCACGGGTGCAATCAACCAGTCTTGCGGGCAAGGGAACATCTAATCGCGCGCGCGAGCAAACGTGCACGAGAACAAACAGCCAGTCGTGATTGTGAACGCTCACCATGCAAACTCTCTCATGGACTTAACCAGGATAACCCGCCATGTGATGTTGCTCAGCATAGTTCAAATCAGTCCATGCATCTCATCTCGGATGCACTACTCTACACTGGTCACCTTTTTCTGTACTCAGCCAAGATCTGCTCTACTCTGCTCCGCTCTACTCCACTCCACTCCACTCCACCCCAGTCGATTGCCCTCCAATCCCCTTCACTCACTCTGAGGGACTATACTAGTAGAACTCTGACTCCAAGTCTGAGTCCAAGTCGTATGACTGTGGATGCTGTGCGTATCCCACCAGCCCACCCAGACGAATTCCCCAGGCGGGTTGTCTTGATCAGGGAAGGGCGGGAGCAGGTTTTGGAACGTGCGGGGGAGGGCGCCGTCAAACTCAAGCTCGGGATCCGCCTGGGCAGACCCAGGGGTCCACCATTCGGGTCGTCACGGGCCTTCTTTGACCCGGGGGTCTCCTGGAGGCCTCTCCAGGCCAGCTGCGGGGGGAGATCCGGGGCTGATTTTGGAGGCCTTCGGGGCTCTCTTGGAGCCCTGGGGCCATCTTGGGGGACATAGGCAAGCCCAAGCAGTGCCGTGGATTAGCGCGGCCCCTCTTGATCTCGACAAGTCACCCCTTGGAGCCCTCTTGGGACGCTTTTGAGTAGCTCTTGGGGCCCTTGGGATGTCTGCGTTGTTTGCCATTTAGGCGGCTGTGGCCCCTCAGACTGCCAAACCAAGTCGCGCAGTGCTCTACCGTACAGCTGATGAAATCTTTTTGCTACTGGAATTCCCTGGCGCATTGTATATATATATATATATGTATATATATATATATATATATATATATATATATATCTAGGATGTATCGGGGTATCTCTTGGGCGGTCTTCACGTTTTGATCCTCGCTGCGTCTGCAGTCCTTGGAGAACGAGGCGTGAGTACATTGCTGATACCCCCAGCCGCATCGCCCTTCCCTCTCCCTGTCTTATCCACTCATGTATCCATACGGGCTGTCGTGTCGTTCCATCGTCAGTTTTTCGATCGAGCGGACGTCCCAGCAACCCATGCTGAACACAAGGATGTGCTCCATCATTTCATTCGTATCATGCGCGAGCGTTCCATAAGCTCACGGCGTGCGCTCCAGCACTGCACCTTTACCGAGCGCGAGCATTCCAGCACTGCGAGCAGAAGGCAAGGGTGTGACGTCGACGTAGCCGTCGTCGCCGCCGTCGCCGTCGTTGTCGACGTCGCACCTGTGGTCGTCGCCGTCGCCGCTCTCGCAGTCGCCGTCGTCGCTGTGGCCATTGCCGTCGCCGCCCTCGCCGCTGCCGTTGCTTTAGCGGGTGCCTTCGCCGACGCCGCCGTCGCCACCGTTGTTGTCGCCATGGTCGTCGTCGCCCCCGAAGCGCTTGAAGACGCGCCTGATGAACGGAAGACGTTCAGAGATGCAGCCGGGGGCGCCGCGGCGGACGACGGCGACCCAGCCCCAATAGACATCGGCGCGCTTGTGACGACGCTGGCGTCTGGGGTGGGTGGGAACGCTAGCGGAAGTGGCCGCGTTCGTGAATGCTTTCAGCAATGGGAGCAGGGGAAAAAACATTGGAACGGCAATGACAAGGGCGACGGCAGAGGGGGAAGGGTCGTGAAAGATAGTGTCGACTCAATCGCCAGACGCAACAATAAGGCAAGGGCAGGTACCTTCATGGTCGGCAGCGGGTGGAGGCGCGCACGTGCAGGAAGTGCCGCCAGAAGGACCACCAAACCCAGGGTTCACTGGATATGTCTACTACGAACGTCAGCAGCACGGTTAATAATGCGAACGGGCGCGAGGCTGCGATGAAACCGGTGCTTTTCCTCGCGCCCGCGACGGGCCCCATGCATTGAGCCTGGGAGTAATGGCGCGGAGCACGAACGCGCAGGCGCGCTCCGGCGCGGCGGAGGCAGCGCATGCTCGGGCTTTCGGGAGGCACCGCGTCCGCCATCGGCTGGGCGCTGCGCCTTGACGCTCGAACCGCAGACCCTGTGAATCGGCTGTCGACTCTGTGGGCAGCTGAGGGCGGCTGCCCATGGGCGAACATGTGGACGAGTAATCTATCTTATGGTGGATTCGGGAGCCGCCCAGGCGACGTGGCCGCATGAGCCGCCCCAGCGCTGCGATTTCCGAACGGCGGACGACAGGCGCGAGTAGCACTGCCAGCGGGCTCAGACGTGCCCGCGGTGGGCATCGACTACCAGGTCGCCGACGTTTGGCGCCCCATCTTGGGAGTCGCAGGGGCTCGCGATCGTGGTCGCTCGGTGCTGGTCTCGCCGGCGGGCTTGGTCATTGTGTCCCGCGTGCTCATCTTGCCAGGAGGCGCTGTCAGCTCACCCAAACTCGGACAGGACAACCCCTTTTTGCGGTGGCATCCGCGACGCCGTCTACCGAGACGTTGCGGCCCGACGCAGTCGACGCTGAAGCGCCTGCGGCGGGGGGGCCCGCGGCGGTCGGGCAGCCTGTGCGCGCGGAGGCCCTCCCTGGCTGAGGCCATCCCCGACGGGGTGCCAGTCGACAAGCGCGGGCTTGCCTGCCCGCCGCCCAGAGGCTGGCGGGACACGTGCGTGCGGGTCGAGGCGGCGGACGACCGCGCCGTCGAGGCGGCTGGCCTGGAGACGTCGACGACGTCCAGATGCGCTCGTGGCAGTTCGGGGCAGTTTTGGCCGACGGCGAGCAGTGGGAGACGTCGGTGGACAAGCATATCAATCGGACCACCCTGGTGCCAAAGTCGTTCGCCTGAGTGATTCGAGAGCGTGGGGGTGTTGCCCAGCGCGCTGGCGGCCGCCCGCAGGCAGTCCGCTGCAGTGGCCGCGATGATGGGGTCGAAGTGGGCGCGTCCCTGCGTGACTCTGGCGGCGAGCTCTGCGGGGGTCGTGGAGTGCGCCCCGCGCGCCGACCAGGGGCTGGCGAAGTCGGGCGCAGGTCGAACACGTTGCCGAGGAACGCAAGGTGAAGGGCTCTAAAAGCACGCTTGTGGCAGCTCCTCCTCGGTCCGAGACGGAGTTTATGCGCGACCGCCGCCTGGGGGGTCAATCTTCGGGGGCCTCGGCAGGCGGTGGGCATGGATATGCATATCCGCCGCCCGCTGGGGCACCGGGGTCGGCTCCCAGGCGGTGGATATGGATGGGTCTCCGCCTCGCATTCAGGGGCTTCTCGTCGATGGGTTAATCGAGTCCATGGGCGATCAGGTGGCCGAGCTTCTGCTCGAGCGTGGTAGGGGCGTCAGCGTCTCCGCGTTCCATCGGATGCCGCTGTGGCAGTCTGGGAACTGGCTCAGTCCTCGCGCGCTTCGCCGTGGAAGCGCCGCTTGCGAGACAGCTTGCCGCGACGTCGCGGGGGGGCGCAATAGTGGGCTGCTGATAGCGGCCAGCGAGGTCGTCTGGGCCAGGATTTTCCCCGGGCCGCGCCGAGATGGCCTTGCTGGGGCCAGCGGCGCTTTGGCGTCTAGCTGGACAGGGCCGAGAAGACGACGGCCACCTGGTCGGCCGGGGGCGGCAGACAAGCCGCGACGGATCGGTTGGAGGCTGCCGACGGGAAGGGCTCAGCGTTGGCGTCGAACAGCTCCGCGGGCTTGCCTTGCGACCTCCAGTCCAGGCTCGACTGGTCGGGCGCCGCGGCTGACCGGCGCTGGGGGGGCGCTGAGCCTCGCCGGCCGCGGCGGCCGCGCGGCGAGGGCGCGGCGGGCGGATGCGTTTCGGCGCGGGGCCTTTCGCTGGGCGCCCCACTTGCAGCGCGACCGGCCTCGGCGCGCCCTTGGGGGGCTCTTCCAGGCCGAAGCTGGGCGCTTCGCCTGCGTGACGAAGAGGGCGGCGGAGAAGATCAGGGCCTCGCCGAAGTGCCCGAGGTGCTGGGGTGGCGATTCGCGCGAGCGCAGGAATTGGATGGGGGCGAGCATTTTGGGCGGGGGCGTCCGCTCCCGCGGCAGCAGCGGGAGCCGCAGCGGCGAGCTCCTCGGGGCTGGCCCCCGCCGTGCCAGCCGCGGCGCCAGATGCCAGCCTGGCGGTAGACACCTGCTACGGGCGCGGGCCATGGGGTCCGGCCGGTAGACCCTGGCGACAGCAGGCCGCGGGCGATGGCTCT